TTACCTACATGACCACCTGATTGTAATATATTTGAATTACCTACTTGATTTTCTAAATTAACTTCTTCCCCATGCTCAGTCCATATCCAATAATCATGTTTAAATTCAAACTTATACAAATCATATCTAATTGAATCAATATCCAAAAACTTTCTACACTTGCACTTAGAACATGGACACCTAACGACCTGATTGGTGATGAATTGCTGCGAATTACAACAGACGCGTATAAATTCCTCCACACCCTCAAAGAATTCAGGTTTTATTCTCCCCCGACTTAGGTGCAACCTATCATACATCCACTGACGATTTCTGAGAAACATCTTCCTCAAGAACTATATAAACCTAATACAAATATACAATGTGGTATCAACCTTCTAAAATACATTACAGAAAATTTTAATATAAATTTTGGCAGAATCTCCCCTAATACATGTTAATTTCCTTACATTTGTTTACTATTTTTTTACAAAAATGAAAATTTCACCTAAAATCAACTAATAAATTATATAACAATAAATTATTCGATACATCAAACACAAACACATGACAATCCTAAACCGTTCTAGAGCACATCCCCTTGTAACTCCACAACATTCATATTCTACAAACTCCACAAACACAAACAACACCACAGCACACAATAATCAGGTTCGGAGAAGGACCTCTACGCCCTTCCCCCCAGTCATACAATCTCCAATCCTACAACTCTATCTTAGAAATTTTAAGTCTCTAAAAAACATAAAAAAATTAAAAAACTAAACCGATTAAAAGTTAGAGTATCGTACCAGGAATACAGTGATGCAAAAAAACTTTCAAATGGTTGCTCCAATAACTCGCAATGGCCAAAACACTGAGCTCTTAGAGAGAGAGAGAGGGGGGGAGCGAGAGAGAGAGAGAGGGTTCTGATGGGGGAGGGGAAGAGGAGAAGCGATTTTAATGGGTTTCAGTCATTACAGACGGAAAAATCTGTCTGTAATAGGTTTAATGAAACGGTGCGTTTCAGGAGGCACATTACAGACGGATCCGTCTGTAATGTGCCACCTGAAAGGTCGGCTAAAACCGCCATATTTACAGATGGGAAAATCTGTCTGTAATTTCCCGCTATAATATTTCGTCCTATTTTCAAATTACAGACGGAAAAATCCGTCTGTAATTACTGTCTATAACGTTTGGCGCCAAAAGGCGGGCAAAATAAAGACGAATTTTACAGACGGGGAAAAATTCGTCTGTATTACAGACAGATTTACAGACGGATTTTTCAGAAAAAAAAAAAATTATTTCACAAATTCGTCTGTAAAGCCGTCTGTAATACAGACGGATTTTTTCCTGTCTGTAAAATTCGTCTATGTTAAGCGCTTTTCTAGTAGTGTAATTTGTTGATTAAAAATAAAAACATCTTAAAAGTTGTTTGAAAGTTGAAAGTAACAGAAGAATATGACTTGAAAAGATTAATTAGAAGATAAACTTATGATTTTAACCAAATATTTTGATTTGATGTTAATAGTTTATATGGTTCATTTAACCATTATGTACTTTTATGTAAAATGACTTTATGGTTGATTCGACGAGGATGATAAACAGATCATTTTTAATTTAAGCAATGTAATATGATTATATATTTTAATTTATTTGACTTATTTGTATTTTTAATTAAGTAATATTTTACAAATAGTGTCTTTTAAATGGTAATAGTGAAGTAAATTTACATACACATGGATATTAGTTTGATTAACTTTCAAAAGCTAAGTTTTATAACTTTTTAAGGTTTTAGAAAATATTATTTTCTTCAATAAGATAATTCGAACTCTACTAAAAATTATGAGGTATGTCTTATTTGACAACACAAAATGAGATTGTAGAAGGAGTCCAAAGTTAACCCTCCCTAAACGGACTCGCATGGAGGGATAAAAAAATATGTTACTTTTGCCTAATTTTTGAGTTTGGAACACTTGACAACAAAATAATAATAGAATATCAGATGGTATAAAAAATTCTACTAAAAATTTTAAAATTAAATTGAACTGTATCAGATTTTATATAATTTTAAAAATGATTTATTAAAATTATTAATATTAAAAATTTAAATATTTGATTAATTACATATACAAAATTTGAATTAAATAAATATTATTTAAATTTATTTTTCATTACAGATTTATAAGAATAAGATTATTTTTAAAAAATATGTAATTAGTTTCAAATGATGATTATTTGTATAATATTAATATATCTTTTGAATTTTTTTTCATATTTAAGTTCAATATTTGGGATATATATATATATATATATATATATATATATATATGATTTAATAGGAATTGATATTCTTTTATTTGGAATTTATTGTGAAAATTAGAAAAATAACTATGAAAGAATATAATTCAACATGTTAGAAAGATATAATAAACAGAATGAAAATTTAATAAAAGAATTAATAAAATATATATGAAAAAATTTAAACAGCCATATAAGAATTGCAGTGAAAGAAATAGGATAGGTACTTGTTTATGCTATTCTTTATGAGTGGTTACTTAGAACAATTTTCCAACTATTGATTATATTATTACTATAATGTCAAAAACTCAAACATTTTATATTCTAAAGAGACAAATGCCAAGAGTCCAAGATTGTAAACGGCATTTTCCAGCGAAATTAGTTAATTTCTAGAATCTTTTGCTAATTACTTAGTCCAACGATAATGAAAGGTGGTAAATTTTCAAAACCATGGGAATTATAGCACAGTATTCAAGCCATTTAAACTTCAAAAAATCGAATTTTCTTCTGAAGCTTCTTTCAATATATTCTTTTGAATACAATCTTTCATGTATTCTTTTGCTTATTTTTTTAAAAAAAATATTTAAAAACAAAAAGTATGTTTAGAAGAGTATATTATTAACATTTTTTCTTTTAAACTTTGGGGTAATTCACAAACCAAATCCCCATGCACGACATATGTCAGAGAGTCGCGTACTCTGACTAGTTCGATCCCTTGAACTTGCGTTTCTTTGCATCTTCTTCTTTCAACGGATGATACGTATATCACTGCAATATCAGTAATTGGACTTGGTGAAGAACAGCAGATTAGAATTCAATGGAGTATTGGACTGGTCTCTGTTATATTTTTCTGCTACACATTTCAGACAATAATTTTAATCACGTCACAATTTGTTATTGGATGTTAATATATATTTTTAATTAAATTTACTTTAAAATAAAAACATAATACAATAATATTTATTATTATTATTATTGTTATTAGTAATTGAAATAAGCAGGCCTTTTGTGTTTAATTTTTTAATTGGTCTAAAATATATTTTTTAATTAAGTAATTTGATCTAATTAACTTAACCTGATAAGCTAAGTCCCAAACTCCAACAAATGATTTGAACTATTTTAATTCCTATAACAATTTTACTTAACTCAAACAAAATTATCTTTAACAAAACATACATGTAGTCTAGATTAGAAAAAAAAAAAAAAAGAAATTACGTCTGTTTTACCTTTTCTATTTTTTTTAGTATTCAGAAATGTTGAAAGTATATTCTAGACTAAATAAATAACTTTTTTATTCAGTTTTAAGTTTTATAAAACATTTTTGCATTATATGCCAATCATCTACACTTTATTAAAAACTGTATGTAATCTTGAGCTCTTGAACCCTAACATCTTAAGTTTTATAATTAGAAAAAACAAATACAAATTAGTACATTAAAGGCATTAATTAAAAAATAACAAATATTAAATATTATTATTTTACATTCGTTTATAATTTTTAATATATTTTAACATGATTTATTATAAAAATAAATAAATTTTGAATCGACGCCTAATTAATAATACTCTTAAAAGAAGTATAAACGCGTCTGAAAAACCTGTCCCAAAGGATCGTGCTGGGAAATGGGGATCCTGCTGCTTAATATTATGTTTGATTTTTATCCTTTTTGTGGAGTGTTTTACTTTACTTCTTATTCTGTGATTGGCTCTTAAGCCTTTTCTTACGTCGTTCAAAACTTCAAATGAATACGATACTTATAAGAAAAAGCTTTTGTCAAACCAGGATCGTCATCCTTTGAAAATGTTTTCCGTACTTTTCAGCAAAAACTTCTTTTAATTTTAAGAAGTATTTTTATACATTCAAAAAATAAAAATAATTATATATGACATGACAAAAAATTATATATTTGTACAAAAGTTTTCTATATATTTTGCTACAATTTTAAAAAAGAAAAAGAAAAGGCATGTAATAAAAAAAATAAAAAATTGTTATGGTAGAAGATTATTATGAAAAAGTATTGTAAAAATATTATAATATCATATGTTTCAAGTGTCTATTTGATTTTACGTTTTTGTTATTGAGATATCGATATTCTTAAATTACATTTCACGATAAAAATATTTTTGGCACAAATATGAAAGCATATCAATTCTTGTATAAAGGTGCCCAAAATTCGTCATCCTTAACGTAATAGAAATCGATTCTGGCCTTTTCTTTTATGAAAATTAAAATAAAATATGATAATTTTAGCAAAAATTATAAAAAATTACTATTTTTTCATTCTTTTATCTCTAAATTTCTATTGACAATTTTTAAATCTCATATTTTTATAATTTTTTTAAAATACCATATCTCAGTAATATATTAAAAAAATAATCCATCGATTCTCCTAAACAAGCTTGGAAGCCACCGACGAAGAACATGCTATATATAGTCAAAGGATATAAACGTGGACGTGTAAACCATACACGTAATGTTGGAAGCAAATGTCAACTTCTTATTGGTTTCTATAATATTGCTAAGAATTAAGTTCAAAATGTGAGTCTTGGAAGACAAGTCTGCTTAATGTCGTCAGAGTAAACGTTTTCACGTTCAATACTTGACCCTCCTTAATTAATTTCCAGTTTCTTATTAAATTTTCATACCCCATGGCAATCTATAAATACGGTACTCTTAAATCCTTGCCAGTACTACTAATACAACATCAAATTACACCTTATAGCTCCAAAACGTGTTAATCAAAATGGAAAAGCTTGCTAAACATGTTTTGATTTGCGGTTTATTAACCTCACTTGTTTGGCTTTCGTACCCAGTAATGGCTCAAGAAGTTGGTAAGGATCATTTTGCTTAGTTTCTTTGTTTTTAATTTGCATGCATAAGTGAGATTAAACGGTATACATGTCCTTTATGGTAATCATTTTTAACTGCTAATTCGTTATTTCAGAGGACGAGAGCGAGTTCAATTATGATGTACACAGTGAAAGAGGACCATTTCATTGGGGTGAGATTAGACCCGAATGGAGAATGTGCAACAATGGATCAATGCAATCGCCAATTGATTTGTTGAATGAGAGGGTTCAAATAGTATCCCATTTGGGAATGCTTCAAATTAACTACCAGCCCTCCAATGCAACTATTAAGAATAGGGGCCATGATATCAAGGTTCAATTATTAGCAAAAATATTTAATTAATTATCACTAAATTATTAAGCAAGAATTTTTTTTCTAGTAATTTCTTTATGTCCCTTGCTACTTTTTTTTAATGTAACTCTTTGTGAATAGATGGAATGGCTTGCGAACACAAGCTATCTACAAATTAATGGTACTCAGTATGTACTTAAGCAGTTCCATTGGCATTCCCCCTCTGAACACACCATAGATGGCAAAAGGTACATATAAATACATCCTTATATCTATGTAATTATTATTTTTATTTAAGAAATGCAAAAAAAAAATTACTAATTTTAGCTCTTTAAAACATATAAAAGCATTAAATTTTTATTTAAGAAACATAATTTTCTATACTTCTGTATTTTTAATGTAATGAATATTTTTACAATTAAAATTTATTACTTTTAGAAGTTTAAATTTAACCCTAAAGAGCTCAATCCAAAGATAAAGATTAACAAATTTGAAAAAAAGAACTTCAATTTAAAAAAGGCTAACCCTTACATAAATCAAATACTACTCACATCAAAATTTAGTAGTAAAATTTATTTACCATCTAATTGCAATCAGGTTGGATTTAGAGTTACACATGGTGCATGAAACTCCATCAGGAAAAACTGCTGTGATTGGAATATTGTACAAGGCTGGAAAACCAGATCCTTTATTGTCATTGGTAAATTAAAACATCCCTCTGTCTTTTGGTCTTAATTTGTGAAGAGTGATTGCTTAATTACTAATCTGTACTTCGGATTATTTTTTCATCTTTTCTAGTTAACGAATCACTTAGAGGCCATTTCTAATAGCACGGGAGAAGAAACAGAAGTGGGTGTAATGGATCCTAGCCTGGTTAAAATAGGAACAAACAGAACACTGTATTACAGATATATTGGTTCCCTCACTACTCCTCCATGCACCGAGAATATTACTTGGACCATCCTTAGAGAGGTTTGCTATGATATATCAGTTTAATTACTAGTATTTGGTTATAATTTTCCCTTTTATATATTTTCTTCAAGATTTTTATACTATGTTGAACCTGTGTAAATTCATCAGGTGAGATCCGTTTCAAGGGAGCAAATCAAATTGCTTCGAGATGCTGTTCATGATGTAAGTTAAATACTATAGCTTTCATGTCATGTATATATCTCATGACAAATTAAGGATATTATAGATGATGCAAATCAAGAATTTATAGATATAAATAGAGGGAAAGACGTTAATTAATATATAATTAGTAGATAATTTTGTTTGTCTGTTTATTCTGATCTTATGAGATGGTTCCAATAATCTATCATAAAGGATAGTTACACTGATAGCCAAACTATATAGATTAATCAAAATTATAAGATACATAGCACTTATACACCAAATTTTTGGTTACAACTTATGCACCAATTTGGATTCATCAATTTTGATAGTCAATACTATATGTATATAATTTGTTGGCAACTCAGAATTTCTAAAAAGGTTTAATAATTATAATTAACTTAATTTTTCAATGTTTTGTTATTAAAATTTTAAAATTTCAACTGCAGACATGATTATTATGTAGCAAAAAACCTTAAAATGTCAATTTACATATACTGCTGGAAGATGAGTAATTGCTTATATTAAACTTGACCTATATATATACTTTGCAGGACTCAGAGGCTAATGCAAGACCATTGCAACCAATAAACAACCGGTTAGTGCAGCTCAATAAACCGAAAGAGGATCAACGTTAAAGTAAAGTTACTCCAAGGCATTTGCGAGGGCAAATATGAGCAGAAGATGATTAGGAAATTTGGTTGGAGAGTGAATTTTCACATGCACTATATTTTATTGTTATTCTTTGCTATTTTACATTTATATTTATTTCTATTCCATAGTTATAGGGTGTATTTTTAATTTTTCATCCCCCATTTCGGGATCAGACCTGTATTTTTTTTTTCTTTTAAATTTATGTATGCTGAATATTCCACACTTTAAATTTGATAGATAATATATTGCTCATTGACTTTTCAAAGAATAGGTAAAATTATTTAAAATTTATATAATCAAAGTAAGATAATTTTTATTATTTTTATTTTATGAAAGTGTTTTTTAATTATATTATACAAAAAAAAATTAAAAAATAAGTAAGGAATAAAGTAGTTATGCAATAAATAAAATATTAATTATTTGACGTTCAAATAATAAGATTTGAATTTAATTTAAATACTCTAACAGTGGAATTTTTTTTTTTACATTACAGTCGATGTAAGAATTCCATCAAGTTTTCTATATATTAATAGACATACATTTTTCATTTATAGAAAAAATTATTTAATTTTACCTATATTTTTTTTACTTATAAATATTGATTAAAAATTATCTAAACTAACTCTAAATAAGACTCAAGATTTTCAGAAGAGTCAACTTAGAAATGGGTTGGAGGCTTCCAAGAATATACATGAATTACTTCTATCAATTTGATCGTGTTTGGCAATGAGCGGTGGGGTGCTTAAAATTAGTCTAATGTCACTAATTTGATCCAACTTGAAATTAATTTCAAAGGTTTTAAAATTTTATCTCATTCACCATCGGATTTTGTTCAAATTAATTTCAAACAAATAGTCCTATTATAATTTCAAATCAAATAATAATTACTTTATTTGATTTTTAATAAAAAAAGTAACTAATTCATAAAGTGTATATATATTTATTTTTTATAATTAAAAAATATTAATAATTATTCTTCTTTATTTGCGTAGAAGCCTTTTTTATATTCGATCATTGCATTTAAAATCCATGACTCACAAATTAACAAAACAGTTGTTCAACCAATATACAGTGGGTGACATCATTTGGTTCGGTGAGATGTGACATTCGGGAAACCTTTCAAGAGCCTAATGCCATCCCTATTAAGATTAAATAAAATATGGAATAATTAACTGACTAATCACACAGAGACATTTGGTCACAACAAAAAAAAGGAGGATTAATGAAGATATAACCAGCCAAGGTTAGTAATATCATGCGATAACTTAGCAAGGGATTTTTTATACGGGAAAAAAATGAAAAAATGATTAAAATATAGTATTTTTAAAATATTATAAAATATAAGTTTTTTTAAAAATTGTGAGCTGTAATTTTTTAATTTTTAAATTTGGTAATTGTTTTGTTATTTTATTAGTATCTCTACTAAAAATATTTCTTCAATTTTTAAAAAATATCATATTTTAGTGTATATATATATATATATATATATATATATATATAATTCCAAGTATAAAAAATTAATCCCCTTAGCAATATTGTTATTATTATTATTATTATTTTCCTGTGATGTGGATTGGTGCAACTGCAAAATGGAATCTGCTTCTCTTGTAGGGTCCAATAACTAGAGTTCAGGTGATTCGTGTTCAAGAACAAAGAAAGGCGACAAAACTAAAAGCCAATTGTGGAAATAAAAAACTTATTGAATCAAGCAAACCAAAAGAAAAGTTTGCTTGAGAATAAGATTTTAGACGGAAATAGAAAGAATAAAAATTTAATTTTAAATAAACATTATTTAATTTAACAACCTTTTAAATAAAAAGAATAAAATAATATTTGACATCTTATTTTTTTTTTACTTATTTTTTTAAATATTGTATACCTTTCTTAATTTTAAATTAAAAATGTTTTATTTTTTTCCAAAACTTCTCTCTTACACGTTTGTAAGGATATTAGTTAAAATAAAATAAATAAATAATATTTATTAAATTTTATAGTAGAAATACATTAGAAATATTTTCATTACTTTTTTCACTTTTAATTTTTTAAATACCCATTGTCCTTATCATTTAGTTCACGAATGATTAGAAAAGTATTATCCTTTACCTTTAGATCATCGATTTGGACAATTCAAAGTTGATTAATCAAAGAATCGATTTAAAATAAGTTTAATTTTAGTTTTGGTAGTTATTTATTCAACCAAAAATATTTTTTAAGACAAAGAAAAGCTTACATATAAAATTCACTTCAAATTATTATTATTTAATCTTTTATTATTAATTTCTTATTATACACAAGATATAATATAATTTTCTATACATTTTAAAATTTTATCTTATTCAATTTCTCATAATTTTATATTTAATATATTATAATGCTAAAATTTATTTATTTATTTATCATCTCTAAGTTGATTTTTTTTTATTTGATGAGGTAAATTTTGGGATATAGAGATGCCACCAAGAGTAAAAAAGGTTTTTAACTTAAAAAGCACTAAAGTGAACAGAATTTGAGTGGAAGAAATATATTTTTCATTTAATCTTTGAGAGTGTGGAAATGCTGTTCGCTAAGTTAAACAAACAGAGGAGAGGAAAGAAAACGAATGCATGATGCATCCCTCAAAATGTGCATGAGTTGAGAGTTTGAAATTTCACTCTGGGTCACTGGGATGCCTTGACCAACAAAGCAATTACTAGCATATGAAACTCCATCGATATTAATAATGAGGAACAAGAGAAGAGGGGCAAACAAGTAGTAGGAAGAAGCAAGTCCTATTCATGTGCCAGCACAATCTTTCTTACATTTCAAAATTACAACCTTAATTTTAGTTAATTGGGTTACATATTTCTTGGCTAAACCATTTTTGCGAGGACTTTCATGATATCATCCATAGTTGGCCTACGGATGGGATCATCAGCCACACAATCCTTTGCCAAAAATGACAAACACAGAGCCTCTGGAAGAGAATAATCCTTCAGATTAGGATCCACCAAACTCCTTAACCCTTCAAAACAACCACCTTCACTGGCTTCCCCTGACAAAAATCCAAGTGAATCTTTGATTGATTTTCCATCAAACATTTCTCTTCCTGAGATCAGCTCAAGCAAGACAACCCCAAATGCAAAAATGTCAACTTTTTCAGAAACTGACCCATGTAAGAGGTACTCTGGTGCCACCAACCCTTTGGGAATTTCTATGCTATCATTTCTTTTGGTGGGTGTGACACTAGGAGCCAATGCCCTTCCAACATCTGCCACTTTCCCCCTCCAATTTTCCGTTATGAATATATTTCTACTAGTCACATTCATGTGAGCATAGGAAGGAAAAGAACAACAATGTAAATAGTAAAGACATGTTGCAATATCAAAGGCTATTTGTCTCCGTTTGTCCCAATTTAGAGGATTGCATGGATCAGATAAGCACTCCCTCAAGCATCCATTTTTAGGCAACTCAAAAACTAAATAAGACCATGAAACATTGCTCTCAGCATAACAAACACCAAGTAAGTTCACAATATTAATGTGGTTGATTTTAGAATGTAAATCAATCACCTGTCTAATGTCTTCCACCCTCATCCTCTTTATCATCACCTCAACATCATTCACTGAGCCTTTGTAGACTAAGTCATCAATCTTGTTTTCTTCACTGAAATTCTTTGTGGCCTTTTCAAGCTCTTCTATGCTGTAATTGAGTAAGCAATACTTGATTCCAACAAGAAGATCAGGAGATAGACATGTGATTGTTGAGCTTTTACCCGTTTGAGTTGATATAGGAGAGCCTCTACTTGATGACCACAAGGTAGGGAAGTTTGTTGGATTCAAGGAATGTACAACATCACTTTTCCTCATCCTCTTCATGTACAATCCACTTGCAAGCAGTGTTGTGAACAACAAAAATCCTATAATAGATCCTGCAATGTACAAATTTGATGGCTGTGTGGATTCCTGTGTAGTAACCACTGGATTTGTAGGAAGAAAACCAGGAGGTGGGGAAGGAGAATCAGGAATATCAAGTATTCTGATTGGAGCATCCATTGATGGAATCAAAACAACTGTTTCAGGGTAAATTGTTGACAAGGAATTCAAGTCATTCACTGCTGAGAAATCTTCAGGTGATATGCCAAATTTTTTACTCAGTGTATATGGATCATCTCCCAGTACTAGAGGGTACGTGACAAGGTACTTCACCCTCTTGCTCCTTGTGAAACTGTCACTGTTAGGACAAGCACATATAAGAGGCACCTGAAGCTCAGAACTAGCTTCTGGCTCATTACCTCGTGGAAGATTTTCCTCTGCAAGTGTAAGATGTTTAAGAAGCCCTTCAAAAACTTCACAAGCAATGTCGGAAAATGTTGTGTTTTCTTTGGCTTCATAGCTTAAACTAGCTTCATAATATTGGTTAGAGCAGGTACAATTAATAGGAAGAAGAACCTCTTTACCTTGTTTGAGTACCTCAGAAGAAGAAGTGAGGTTGTTTATTAGAAGCAACTCTTCAGAGCTTTTGTTGAAGAGCTTTGAAACATCTGAAATGGTCTGAAAAAGTTTGTTAGCTCTATACACCAAGAATGTTTGGCATGAATCCTGCGGTGACTTGCAACTATACCTTGACCCTCGCATAGTTTCATTTGAAGTACAGTTATTAGGGTCATAGGACAACTGAGCAGTGCATGCACTTAAGCACATCCAAGCAACAAACAAAAGATGAAGCATAATTTTGTGGACAAGAACAATACTTCCCATGAAGCAAATTTTGATTAGTAAGTCACGGAGAACAGAATTAAGATGAATCAGAGTTATTAGTTCGATATCTCTTGGGCATGATTCATATGAATTGTGCAGACATTGCTAAGAAAGTAGGAGTGAACTGAATTCTATTAATTATGACTATTTGACTGAAAATGTATTCAGAGTAAGAAGCCGGCCGAAAAAACAAATGGCTACTTTATAATATATTTAATTTCGTATATTATATAGCTGTTACATGATGTTCTGTTCCTTTCTATTTGTTTCTTACCAATCAAATTCTATGACTTCCAAACAATATGATATTGCTGTCTGTCAGGAACTAAGCGCTTCCTCCCATTCTGACACGTTGAAGATTGCCAATCTGCAAACCAATAATAGATTAAATATATGAAATTAAAATTCCAATTGACAGAAAAATAAAAATTGCAGAACAAGTTTATTTTTCTTTGATCAGATCAACAAAAGGGGTCTTCATGGTGTGCAGAGACAGGCATACCAATGACTGGGTTGACTCATTATATGCAAGGAATAAATAAAATAATGATGGTATAACGTTATAAATAATAAGATAAACATTGATTATGATAATGGCCAAAAGAAATAATCGAAAATTTCAAATAATTATTGTTTTCTCATCAATAAGAGTTTTAGTGTATATTTATATTTTATAATATAAATATTTAATTATATATTTAGCCTTAGGGCTATTTGTGTTTTTGTCCAGAACGGATTTTACTGAAGGATTCAGCCAATGAAATTTTTTCACTAGCTTGTATGTTCTCTCTACTTTTCATTTCTAAAGATAAAGGATTGAGTGGGTGAAGGAAAGACATGAAGCATAAGTATCATCTTTATGTTTTTTTGGTACTGCGAAACATTATATTTTATGTTTTTCGGTAGAAAGAATGAAAATATTATTGTAACTATTTTTTGATATAGTAGAATATTTTTTAAAGTTTGTCTTGTGATTTTTCTTATCATTTGAAGGTTTTTCACATTAAATATTAATATTTTTAATGCATAATATTAATGTGGTATAAGATCTAATTTTATTACATCAAAATATCATTATTCATTTCTTTTAAAATTTTAATTTACACTTGCGCTTACTTGACTTGTTGCGACTTGAGCCCACCATTACTCTATATTTTTTTCTTATATATAACTTATTTTTAAAGGAAATTTATACATTGAAGGTTATATAAATTCTATTTTATTTTTAATAAATAAGTTCTTATTAAAATATGTGTAATTTTAATTTTATAATTTTTTAAAAGTAAATTATCTTATTTTTCTATTTCTAAATTAGTCAAATTTTATCTTATGATTATTTTTTCTGTACCTAAAAGTTTTATTTATTTTCTATTTAAAATCATGATATTATTTTGTTGTAAGATGAAATTTAATGTGTTGGTGTGTGAATTTTAAATAGAAGTTAGATTTCACTAAAGGTACATTTATAAAGATTTTGTTAATTTTAAGATAGGGTTTAAGTATTAAAAGTAATAAATTTTTATTGAAAAGATATTTATTTTCTTAAAATTATTAAAGACATAAAAGTATGACAAATGATTTTTTAAATAAAATTTTATTATTATTAATTATTACACTCAACTTGACCTTAAAAAAAATATTTAATCTAAAATACTAATATTAATATTTTTTAATTTAAAAATAATCATGCTCACTCACATTTCACTCAAACAACCTTCTCTTCTATTCTTATATTTGAGTTTATTATTAAAAAAAATTTACATACAAAAAGATTCGAACTCAAGACCTTATATAAGTGTCACCAAATTATTTGTTACTTGAATTAACTTCTGTTGATTAAAACACATATTTTAACTAATCAACATATAATATCATTGATTAGGTACATATTCAAGCTTACTTAAAATAAATAAAATTCTTCTTTTCATCATACAATTTTCTATTGCTAAATTTTTAACTATATACTTTCTCTTTTTTATTAAATATAATTTAAGCCCCTTTTATTTATTTTAAATTGTTTATCACTTTAAAATATTAATGAAGTATCTATTATTTTTCAATAATATTATTATTTATTAAGAATAATTTTTATCAACTAATAATTAAAATAAATTTAAAATTAATCATCACTTAACTACTATATTAACCTTTTTTTTACCATGGTAACTGATAAAACTATTTTATTAAAATATATTTATTAGTAATTTAATGCTAAATAACATATAATATAAGACGTAGAGAGCAAACTGTGTAATATATATATATATATATATATATATATATATTATGCAAATGTAATTAATTGTCCTAAACTTCATTAAGAGATACATGTGCACTAATATTCCTAATATTCCTATTTCACTAAACTTTTATTTAAATTGTGGTTCTTTTCTTAAATTGTGGTTAAGTTGAAATTTTAATAATAAAAACTTTTGAAAAACCAAACTCTTAAAAGTGAGTTTTAAAATGAAATTAAAGTATAAATTGAGGTAACTAAATTTTTGTGAACAAACTACTTAATTCTCATCTAGTAAAAATGATACATACATAAATTAGGCATAGAAAAAAAAAATAAAAGGTAAATAACAAAGTGTAAAACTACGTAAATTTCTAATAAAGTAGATTAACAAATTCTTTAATTACAGTTATTTTCTTGTAATTAGTTAGCACTATAATTTTTTAATAATTTTATCACATGTTAAGTCTTAAATTAAAAGTTAATTATATGTAAAATAAGTTTTAATTAGTTTTAAAAAAATCTCAAAATAAAAACCTACAAAATCAAAGTCAAATGGATAATAATTGTAAAGTTACTTGTAGGAATTTTTAAAAATTTTCTAAAAGTCATTACATGGATCAAAATTGGATTATAATGCATTAAATTTAAGAAAAATTATCTATACATTTAAGCACTTAAATTTAATGTAAAGAGAAGCTAAATTAAATAAGTAAAATAACACTTGTGACGTGAAATGGTCTAAAAAAATAAAGAAAAATCTTGTAGAAAAATAAGGATAAGAAAAAATAAGATACATTTACCAATAATATATAACTCAACTAAATTAAGATAAGTAGTTATTGATTTATAATTATTCACTAAGAGAAAAAAAAAAAGATACATTTACCAATAGTAATTATTCCATATATAACTCAACTAAATTATTTTTTTTTTAGAAATTACAATTAACAGCAAAATTTGTTGTTTCTATTTTTGTCAAATTATCAAGTTTTTATCTTTAATCTATATTCTATTTATGGAATAATTATTTATATATTGTAAGTAGTGTAAATGTCATTTTTAATATTTTTTTCTCCTTAACCTTAAACTATTGTAACATTTTACTGCAGAATACTTGAACATTTACTATTAAAATTTTAACTAAGAAAATGACTCGTATAATATATGGATAATTATACGGATAAATTATTATGTTATAGTATAATATTATAATTAATAATTATAAAATAAAAAATAATTATATAAAATATTTATAATAATATTTTAATTATTTTAAATTTTAAAATTAATTAGTATATATATTAATATTATTACTAATAAAATTATTTCATATATTATATAAAGATTTATAATATACTTTTAAATATTTATAAAATAACTTTAAAAATAAAAGAATTAAACTTAAATATTATTTGAATTTATAAAATTTAAAAATACTGTTATAATTAATTTGTAATAATTTAATATATATATTTATATATATACACTACAATATAAGGATCCATAATAAAATATAAATTTTAATATATTTAAAATTTTTAAGATAAAAATTATTGTAAGAATAAAATTATATATTTTATCTTATAAAAAATAATTTTTTTATTGAATAAGTTTATTTTGTTTTTCTAAAACTACTATTATGTATTATAATTTAATTTTTTATTATTAAATTATATATTTATTAATTAAATATATATAGAATTTAAATATAAAATTAATTATTTTTTAATATAATAAAAAGATAAAAATATTAAATAAAAATTTTGATTATTTTTTAAAATAAATTATCTATAAATTAATAAATATATTTATATGTCACAAAAATTTATTTATATTATATATTAATATTATAAATTATAATTTAAATATAAAAAATATATAATAATAAATTTATATTATATTGAATAATATCAAATATAAATAGATTAAAAAATAAGATAAATAAATTTTTATATGTAAATTTTTATATACTTTATATATTTTAAAATTTTAATTAAGATTTAAATAGAAAGTAAAAGAGAAGAATAATTTTATTAAAAACAAGAATGAAGGATGCATCATGTTAACAATCTCATTAGTTGGTGCTAGTATAGCACTATTCTGAAATAGCAAAGGATGCATCATGTTGTTCAAAAAAGATGGATATGTTGACTGCACAATAAAAAATATTGAATTATCAGTTTTTCTTATGATTAGATCATTTGATATTTGAACCATAATTTTTTCATTTAATTGTTCACCAATTGTTCCATTACCTATACTTAGAATCTAATCTAATTTTTTTTTTAAATCATCAACCTTTGAATTATAACTTTCAGTTTTAAATCTCATGTATTTTGTGAGTTCTAACACTTGACAATGCTCCCACAAATAAAAAGAACTAATAGAAGCATAAATGATGTCTTGTCTCCTTCCTTTTAGAACTATTGGTAAAATTTGTCTAAAATCTTCACCAAAAACTACTACTTTCCTCCCAAATGGCTTGTTTAGGCGGTCATAATTAGAGAATATTAAAATATTTCTAAATGTTCTATCTACAGTCTCTTTTATGTTAGGATTAATATACAACTTTGTTTCATTATAAGTATTTAATATACCTAAAGTTCATGAAACAACCATAAAATATAATTTGTTGATAATAATAATTATCACACAATTAAAAAAAGTTTAATATAAATAAAAAATCATAATCACAATAGGTAAAACATTAGAATTTTCATTCTTTAGAAAATAAATTATTTAATCAGCAAACTCTTCTCATAAAATGCAAATAATTCTCTAATTCCTATGAAACAAATTTAATATAGTATAACTTTAATTAGTATAAAGTAATGAGAGAGAAACAATATTAAATAAATATTTTAGACATTAAAATATGTTATAAAATAATACTCACTTCAAGTCTTTGAGAATCAAATCAGTATATTTACTTTTCTTTTTATTTTTTTTACGTCTTTGAGATTATCTTTCTCAACCACATGACTAATGATATTTAATTGAACATATGTTAAACATTATTTTAAAATCATAAAGTAGCATACATGGATAAATATAAAAACAATTAAAATTAAAAAAACAAAACTCACCAATTAGATATAGTTCATCTAGCCCATTTAAAATAAATATTAATATTAAGGTTCAAATCTATAGCAAATGATGCACCTTTATCAAAATTGCTAATTATAAATAAATGCATTTAACTGATTTGAATTAAATCATGCATATTAAAGATCAAATCTGTCGTAAAAGATGCACTTTTTGAATATATCAAAAATATTAATTAGAAATAAATATATTTAAATGATTTAAATTAAACCATTCAAGACAGCCTTAAAGGTAAAGATATATCAAAATTGTTAATTAGAAATAAATAGATTTAACTGATTTGAATTAAACCATTCAAAATGACCTTAAATAGTAATTATTAATTATTATATAAAGATTATTATTTTAAAGAGTGAAGGCAAATTCTTTTCCAAAACTCATTGCAAATTTTCCTCCAAAACTCATCTCAAACTTTTATTTTGAACAAATAATATGTACTTTCTCTTATATATACCAAATAAAATATATTTTCTTTCTCACTTGAAGATATTTTTTTACTTATTTTTATAATAAACCTAATTTAAAGTTCAAGAGTTTTCTATAATTTTATCAGTTAATAATTTCTAATAATAAAATTTAAAATAAATATTAATGTTAAGGTTCAAATCTGTCACAAATAATGCACCTTTATTAAAAATGCTAATAAAAAATAAATACATTTAACTAATTTGAATTAAATCATTTAATACAGTCTTAAGTGTAAAAATATATCAAAACTGTTAATTAAAAATAAATGTATTAAACTGATTTGAATTAAACTATTTAAAATAGCCTTAAATAGTAATTATTAATTATTATATTAAAGAGTGAAGACAAATACTCCACTAAAATTTATTGTAAATTTTTTTTCAAAACTCATCTATTTTTATATATGTATAAAGATAAAAATTATTGTTGTAACACACTAAAGGACCATAAAATTTTTAATAAATTTAATAAAAGATAATAAAAGACTTAGGAAAAAATAGATAAGAGTTCAAATTCAAATTGAATTAAAAAGAAAAGTTCAAAGTCAATTTTTCTTTCAGATATTTTTAACTAAGAAAAGTTAATTAATATAAAAAAATTCTAAAAAATTAATGATTAAAAAGGACCTATTCACAATTTAATAAAAAATAGGAACCTAATTATGATTTTGAAAAAAATTAAGAATATTTTCGAGATAAATTTTATATTAATTTTAATTAAATTAGAAAACTATTTTGAAAAGAACTATTTTAATGTAAGCTAGATAATGACTATTTATTTTTTGTTTTTATATGAAAATAAACATCAAAATAATAAAAAAAACTGGTTTTATGAATATATATTTTTAAATTACAATTTTTATATTTTAATTTATTTAATTATGTATCATCTTTAATTTAAGATAACAAAATTTTAATTTCCTTTCATTTATAAATATATTATTATAAAAAATTTAATAATTTTTAAAATTCTGCTCAAAATAAATTGACAATTCATTATTTTTAAATAATAAATATTGTAATATTTATTTATTTATTATTATTTATAGCATATTCTCTTCTTTTTTCAATATTTTCTTTCTTTTTAATATAATAATATATTAATATTTTATAAATTTTAATTAGGCCACCTTTGAATATTTGTAACTCTATAAAAATTATCATTACTTTTCAACATCTTTTTTTCATAATTTTTCTAAAAATACCATATTTTAATATTTATTATTTTAAAATACAATATATAATAAGATAATTCTCAATTTTTAGTCTATTTGACTGACTATTCTCATTCAATAGGATACCTCGTTATCCCACTGGCAAAGCCAATTGTCCTTGTTTTTCTTTTTCTTTTCGCCCTGAATTACCTCTGGTTTCCTGTCATACGTGTAGCTCGAATCCTTGAAGCGAATCCCCATGATTTAACTCCAAACCATGTCGAAGAGCACCATCATCAGCCTTTACCAAACGGTTCGCTCCGAAGCTGCGTCAATTTTTCTTGCCACTTTCAGACTCAACATTGCGATCAAATCATGTCTGTGTGAATTGCAATAATTGGCAAATTAGGGTTAGGAAATCAGGCTTTGATGAAAATGTCACATGACACTGGTTCTGGTCGCGTTATCGATAAAGGACCAATCACGAGGTCTGCCAGAGAGGCATTGTCGAAGAAAGTGGTTGTGAACCATTCTACCACTCCTCATCGTAAGTCCGAACGGCTTGAGAAGAGGACACCGCCAAAGCTTGCAGTTAGCACCAAATCTGAGAAGCAGAAGAAGAGGATGGAGAGTCCGAGTCCTTTGAGAAGATCTGAGAGAACTAGGAACGCTTCTCTTTCGGATCCTTCAGTTTCTAAATCCAAAAGTTCGGGTTCGAAGACGCCTTCGAAAAAGCACGTCGCTGCGAAGCACTCGGCAATTGAGGCTAGCGATGGCAGCGAGGATGAGGAACGTGACATGGAAGCTTCCTCGAAAATTAAAGTTAAGAGAATGGATGCGCGTGCGTATCGTGCTATCTTTGAACAAGCAAACAAAGGTAAATAATATATATTATCAGGTTGCATAGTGTTCGTTCTTATGCTAAACTCTTATAAATTAAATGAATAAGCTATTTCATTTTTGGAAAATAGGGTTGTAGAGTGAAGTGGTTTCAGGTCAGTGGCAATGTTGTAGAAACTGGTATAGTTAATTAGAGTTGAATGCAGTAGTTATGAGTTAGTTCAGGTCAGTTACATTGTTATACAAAAAGGGAGTTAGGTGGAGTAGAGGCGTGTTATTAGATTGTAACAATACATCATTGTTATCACTTACATACAGTTCTCCATCTATCTCACACAATCACTCTATTCTTTCTGGCTGTGATGCCTTTGTAGATGAAGATGGTGGTATTAATGGCTGGTTTTGTGTTCAAGTCTCTCAATAGTTTGTTTGGTTATCGAAATGTAGATAATTGAAATTTGAAAATGTTGCCGAGTTAGGTGGGGGTAGTATTTGTATATTGTTATTGTTGATATTCTACTTCTTTTAATTCTTGAATGCCAGATTGCCTTGGTGAGTCAAGTGGGGTAGATAGGTCAACTAAAGAAGGTGATGATGAGGGTGGGGGCAGGATTGATGAATGCTTTAAAGGAAATTGTTTAGATTCTGCCAAGGATGATAAAGGTAGTTTGCCACCTGAAGATGCCAAAGGCAAAGAGATGAGAGCTGGGTCTAAGTTGAGTGGGCCCGTGAAAGAACTATTAGAGAATAATGGTTCTGCTGGTTCATTGCTACCATCTAATGCCACAACTCATGAGGCCAGTGGAGCACCTGAAAAGGTTCAGTCTGGTTCCTGCAAAGAGGAGATGTCAGGGTCAAGGGATTCCATTTTAAATGAAAATTTGATTAGCAGATGTGCTGAGCATGAGAAGGGTGAAAAATCAATATCTTCTAAGCGAAAAAAAACTATGGTGGACATGCATTCAGATGATTCTGATGTGGATAGGTCAACTAAGGAAGGCAATGGCGAGGGTGGGGGCAAGACTGATGAGTGCTTTAAAGGGAACTGTTTATATTCTGCCAAGGATGATAAGGGTATTTTGCCACCCGAAGAAGCCAAAGGTGAAGAAATGAGTTCTAGGCTAAAGTTGAGCGGGCTTGTGAAAGAACTGTTGAAAAATAATGTGACTGTTGGTTCATTGGTACCATCTAATGCTGCAACTTATGAGACTAGTGGGACACCTGAAAGGGTTCAGCCTGATTCCTGCAAAGAGGAAACGTCACAGATGTCAGGGTCAAGGGATTTCATTTTAAATCAAAATTTGATAAGCAGATGTGCTGAGCGTGATAAGTGTGAAAAATCAATATCTTATAAGAGAAAAAGAACTATGGTAGACATGCATTCAGATGCTTCTGATGTGGATAGGTCAACTAAGGAAGGTGACGATGGGAGTGGGGGCAAGGCTGATGGGTGTTTTAAAGGGAATTGTTTAGATTCTGCCAAGGATGATAAGGGTATTTTGCCACCTGAAGATGCCAAAGGTGAAGAGATGAGTTCTGAGCCAAAATTGAGTGGGCCTGTGAAAGAACTGTCGAAAAATAATGTGACTGTTGGTTCATTGGTACCATCTAATGCTGCAAATCATGAGACCGGTGGAACACTTGAAAGGGTTCAGTCTGATTCGTGCAAAGAGGAAACATCACAGATGTCAAGGTCAAGGGATTTCATTTTAAATGAAAATTTGATTAGCAGATGTGCTGAGCTTGATAAGGGTGAAAAATCAATATCTTATAAGAGAAAAAGAACTATGGTAGATATGCATTCAGATGCTTCTAATACATTGGTTGATGATGGCAATGGCAACTTGATGGAGGATGCTTGCTCATCAAGGATATGCAGCAATCTTGTGGGGACCAATGGGCCATGTTCCAAAAGGATAAGGTAATTGTTATTGTTGCTTTGTTATCAAATGATAGGGAATAAAGAAGTCCTATACCTGTATTAACTTGAGAGTTTCAATCCATTGTTTGCCCAGGCATTTTAGCATTTTTTTTTTTGCTTTTATTAGGCTTACTTTCTCATAGTTTCCACTTTTCTCTGAGAAATATGTTTCTCCATATATTAAAATTAAAGTTTAGGTTTTGTTGTTGCTCTGTCCTGATATATATGTCTTTTCTACTTTAGTTTGCAATTCACCATCTTGTAACACAGTATCATCAACAACTTAGCTTTATCCCTATAGGGTGTACGCTACATGAGTTAATATATACCATCAACAATGTATTCTTCTATTGTTTTCTTATGTCTTCTGCAAGCCCTATTAGTTGAGCTGTAGTTCATTTGATGCACTTTCTCCACTTGTGTTTTGACATGGCCAAACCAGGTCTTGGATTGTGTGACTCATTTCTATGAGAATTTATTTATTTATTTTATTTTTTGTGTATTCATTTTAGTCCATGATTTTCAATTTTTTTTTGCCTGTCTCTCTTGATTTATCTATTTTATCCACTGTTGTCTCTTGATAATCTTCAGCCCAAATTATTCTAGTAAGATGCAAGGTGTCAAGTTGAAATTTCTCTAAGACTTCCAAATTAACAACTGTTTGAAATATTATATTTTAACAAAAAAGATTCAGGTAGACAATCTAAGGAAATTTGATGTAATTGATAAATTGAGTGATTAAAATGAACATGAAAAAGTAAAGGGCTAAATGAATGCAAAGAAAAAAATATAGGAACCAAAAACTTAATAAAGCTATAAGTATATTGTTGTTGACTTATTAATTGTCATTACCGATAGGAACAAAATGGAAAACAAATCCAATAGTACTTCTCTTGGCAGGGTACTCCCTTGATAAACCTAGAGTATTCATTTGGGGCAGAATGCTCCTCTGACTCAAATTTCATGTTGGATCTAAATAAAGGGAATATCAATATTATTCAATTACCAAACCTGTTGATTCTGTTCAAGGTTTATGATGAGGATCTACATAGCCCAACAAATTGTAATACAATTTTTTTTTAAAAAAGATAAAAGCTAAACTAACCAAATATGAAAGATAAAGCTGAATCCTTAAGTAATGACTCAATTGATAAATAATAACTAACTAGATAGCCAATCAATGTCTCATACATGTTGAATTCAGAAATATTGTATGGATGTTTTTCTGCTGCTAACTTTTTCGGAGTTGCCATATAAGCTAGGGAAATAGAAAAGAGAAAAGAGGAAGGGAAAAGTAGAAAAGTTAAAGTGAGCACCCATAAAATTGTGCTCTCTTAATATCTAGTTAGAATGGAGTTTTAATTTTGATACACTCCTTCACTTTCTCTTACTGTAGTAGTAAATACTAAATAGACGTGAATGTGTAATATTATTCAATTATGATAATGGAAAACAGATTACTGATCATCCTCAAAAGATGAGAATTCATCCCAATCTAAGCTTACAGAAGGCACTCCTCTGCCACGATTTTTACTTGTAAAGTATGCCTTTAACCCTTCCCCTAACAGATTTATCTCCAGTATACCACCTCACCTCAATTCTCTCTCCTATGCGTCTAACACAACGTTTTAAGAATCTTACTGGTTATTAAACTGGAAAAAGTACTGATAAAAGGTTCAATGGATTAAATGTGGTCAAACCTGGGATAGTGGCATATATATTTTTAATATTATATACTAATTTAAATAATAAATTAACATAAAATATTAAGAAATTTAGATAAATTAAATTTTAAATTAATATAATATGATCATATTATATGTTCTGTACAAGAAAAAATCAATAGTAAAAAGATAAACAATAATAATTCGTATATACAGGTTTTATAATTTGTCATTGGATTTTTATTTAATTATTTTTTCAAAATTTAAAAAAAAAATTTACATTTGAAACTGACTAGTTCTAACCACTTTTCACAACAAGTATTAAATTGTTTTGGACTGGTTTGGCTAGTTTTTGGCTGGTTCTCACTTATTTTGAGATCATACGTTTTTTTGGGTTGAATGAACCAGTTTTTGGTTCAATTGGTTGATCTGTCTGTCGCATCCCCCATGTGCTTCTCTTCCTTCGACTTTCAGCCGAACACCTCTTGTTCCTTTTATATACATCCCAAACAGAGAAAGGAAGGGCCAATTTAGGATGGTTGAACCAGGTAACCAACATAGAAGTTCCTCTTACATACTCCCCCTTTCTTTTTCTCAACTGTGGCAGTAAATGGATGTGAATGTGTGTAGTAATGGATATTCCTCACAGATGATGAGAATCATCCAAGCCTAAGTTCCACAGAGGCACTTCTGTCATGGTTTGACCAACAGAATACGTTTGGTCATAGCACTCCTTACCCCTTCCATAACAGATTTGCATTCATCTTCACCTCAATTCTCTCCTGCACGACTAACTAAATAGCATTCTCTTGTGTGTCCACATCATGCTCTCGTCTTCCCCTTTTAACCAAACACCACTACTGCCTCATGTACACTTTCCCAAACACAGGCTCGTGCCCATTTGGTTGTGTAACTGCATTTAGTGATTATTAAATCACATGATATGGAGTTGTGACAACAATCTTGCTGTTATATTTCTTTACATATTTTGATAAAAAACTACCTAACTAAATAACCATCTAAGGTTTAGTTTCTCTGTTTAAATTATATTTCTTATGTGGAATGGAGTCTATCAACACATCTGATTCCATCAATAAGCTGATTTGCTAACAAATAAATTTTTAGGTGGATTAAAATTAATCCTTGTATCTTAAAAGAAGAAAAAACCTTACCTGCACAATAGTTTTGAGATAAATCTTTCAGTTAGCTCCTAAGTGTGTTTGAACTGGTTTTTTTTAGGCAGATCTCTTTACCCGATGTGCAAAGGGATCAGAGGAAATTGACCAATAATGTTGATCATTCTTCTCCAAAATCTAATGGTGAAAAATTGTCTACTAGGAAGAAGGAAGGTTAGTTGTCTCTGCCATTATCAAGTTTCAGTTTGTTATGACTTTTCACAGTTCAACAACATTGACAAATAGCAAGAGTTATCATAGCCTTTGATGTTTCCTATGGGAGCTTCTGACACCATTACATACTTTTTGCAGGAAAATCTGGAGGTTCAGTGGGTATTGTCTCTTTATTTTTTCCTAGTTCAACTGATTGTGTTTCTAACAGTGTTCTTGGAAAATATGGACATTTAATGAGGCAAGGCAGATTTCTTGGATAGCTTCTCATCACCTGAGGAGTCTCAATGTCGATGAGGAGGCTTTGGCTATACTTGAGCCTGGGGCATCCACCTCAGTTGTATAACTTTCAACCAAAATGTCACTCTTTTCTTTTTCTTTTTGCACATTGAGTGCACTCACATTTGGGCAAGGCAGTGGGATAGGTGGCCTAGAGGTTGTTTGAATCTCTGGCATTCCTTGGCCTACAGTCTTACGGACTGAGGCCTGTGCCATTTAAGTTGCAAGCTCATTGGTAATCAAAATTGTACTCAAACCTTTGTCACTCTTATCCTATTGAGGGTGCAATAAGAAGTTGTAGAGTAACTAGAATTGTCAATCTAGTCTATCCGAGGAAAAATATAGGAAGAAGCAAAAAAATAAAAAATAAAAAAATCCTTCAGAGTTAAGACAGTGTCGGTGTCAAAGGACTAATATAGATGGCTTCTCACATCTTTGGTGATGAGATGATTCTTTTTTTTTTTCCTAAGGTTTTTCACCCATCATAGCCAAAACACATGCTGCTCTTCTTTTCTTTTCTCACTTCAAACTGGAGGAAACACATACAATATTAGCTTATCACAAACAAACTCCTACTAATGGAATACTTTCTTCATCTCCTGCATCCCCAACTTTGAAGAGTTGAGTTGACTTGTTTTTCTTATTATTTTCCTGTCAGATCCCCTTATAATTAATTTGCTTGATATTTTATGTTTTTAATTTTGTCTAAATCTGGTTGCCTCATTTTCAAGAGGCACACCTTGCCCCTCACTGTCTCAAAGTGAGGCAATATTTGGGCATGCTGCCTCAGTTGTCCTTTCTCCTCCTGTCAACACTGGTTGGTAATTTATTCCATGTGAATTGCAGTTCTTAGTTCTTACTCTATTTGTTTGTTTGATTAAATGTCAGAATCCAAGATAACTGAAGGGAACATTGTTGAACCTGAGAAAATAAGGACACAGCAGAGGAACTTACATCTTTTACTGAAGCCAGAGATAGCAAATCTTTGTGAAATTCTTTGTCTTCCGGTATGCAGCTTGTTTTCTTTTTGTTAAGTTTTACTTGCTGTTTGTTTGTCCTGCAATGGTCCTTTGTTGACAATATTGCAATTTATTTTGGTATTGGTGAAATGTGACTTTGCAAATACTTTAGTCTGAATCTGAATTCTATCTTGTAATGAAGTAGGAATGAAGTCTGTATTGGAATTGTTAAGTCCAAGGATAAAGGGGCTAGATCCAGGCTTAGTTGAAGAAACCTGTTGATGGATTTTTTGATTTTGGTTGTTATTGGTTTTTTTGTAACATTTTGTTTAGAGATTTAATAGTGATGTCTGAAATAGGATAAGTTTAATTTTTTTAATATTAACAGGAAGGAGATTGCTTGGAACAGTAGCTGGAAAGAAGATAATAGGTTAGAAACTGTGGCCATGTGCTGGAATGAAAGAACAAAGGTGATGAGGTCAATAAGTTTTGGATGTAGTTATAGGTGGAGACCTATATTACTTGTTCTAGACCTACCACCAGTCCATTCTTGGAAACACCAACGAACATAATTATATAGTAGTGAAAAGGAAGATAAAAAGCAGGAAATAGTAAATGAACCATATCTCTGATATGATACCTTGCTGCTGGTTTCTCAAGGGTTTGATGTTGATAGTTTGAGTTTGTTGGAGAGTGGGTATTTGTCATTGATGGATTAATTTGTTATATTATGGAATCAATGACTACTTTAAAATAACTTTAATAATGGCTTCACATGTTACCAATAAATCCTGGATTCAAGATCATGAATCCTTGACCTAAGAAATTGCATACCTTTCAACATGGTTCCAGTTTTCATAAATATTTGAAAGCCTTTGACTTTGAGTTTAGAAATTAAAATTGTTTTGGATTCTTCTCTGCAGCCCAAGGAATGATCTTTAAAACTATGCAAACTGTCGCTCGATTTTTGTGATAGTTCATTTAGTGTGTTAGGAGACACAGTAAGAAGCCTGTAAACATGAATGTAATGCAAAAGCTACGACTTGTAGCATTAAAGTAAACATGGATTCATGACTATTTAAATGTGAATCCAAACATGCTCTTGGTATATGTATATCTGCGCTCTATTTTCAGCTTGAATGTCATTATATATACTTTTTTAACATCTTTTTGTAATGCAGGACAAAGTCAAGAGTATGGTTGAAAGTTGTCTTGAATATACTATGAACAATTATCAGATCTGTACTGAACCAGTGTCAATATTACAGGCTTTTCAATTATCTCTGGTCAGAATTTTTTTCTTTTTGCATTTTTTTCTTTTTTTATCCTTATTATTTTCTACTTTTCCTTTTCAGTTTTCCTCACCTTGCTGCCTTTTTCTTGCTGATATACTTTCCTTTTTACATTTATATATGATTGTTGGTAATCCAAGGTCAGATGCTTGATTACAGTCAATGGTTGTTGTAGTTATTATTTTTTCACTGTTTTCATGTCATTTATGATTTCCATGTTGCCAACCTTTTCCTTTCGGGCGATCTTGTGGAATTTGATTTCAAAATCCCTCCCCCCTTCCCCCTTTTAATCTCTATAAATCATAAGTGCATTTTTCATAGAATTTAGAAGAATAACATAATAATCCTCAACACAATAGTCCTTGAACATCCTTCTTCATTCTGCATCATTTGGTTTTTTTTATTGGAGAAAATCCAATACTTAATTAATGCCTGCTCATTTTTCATTTATTGATATGTCTGTAGCTAGTCGCTACAACCTAATGGGCAAATTTTTTTTACTTTACACTTCATCTAGCTAGTAAACTTCAAGCCTCTTTCTTATGTTGCATACTTTGAAATTATGTATAAGTTCAGACCCTGATCTCTGGGTTGCACAGTCAGCTGGGCCTGGGTCAAATGAGGCTAGGTTCAAGCCTCAATGTGCATGGTTTTGTATTTGAAATTTTGCCTCTTTCTTGTATGGAAAGTTTTGTCTTTTCATTTTAGGGATCTGCATAGAACAGTGCTTGTGTGGCATAAGTTTTTGTTATTAAGTTGTGTTTTATTTGCAATATGGTAACCATCTCAACAACCCATTTAATATGTGAAACTTAGTTTAGAGGTTTTGTGTTGTTCACTTGATTGCATTTAACACAGCTGACAAGCATTTTCTTGTACTGTGCAAATTTCAGTGTTGGACTGCTGCTGCTTTGCTAAACCACAAACTCAACTTTGAAGCTTCCCTCTCACTTGCAAAGCAGCACTTGAATTTTGACTGTAAGAAAGAGGTGGTGGATGAAATCAATTCAAGGCTTTGGGATCTGAAAGAAAATTTTTTGTCCCTCACAGGAAATTCTAAAGTCACTGGCTCAACCAAAGTGTCTGAATCATCAAATGGGGTTTATTCATATACAGAAGTAACACCAGTGGTTGAATTGCCCGAAAGAAATAATTCCAAAAATATTGAAAACATTCAGAACCGTACACACCAGTGGGACGAGCTACTTCTGATGCAACAAAAAGAGAAGCAAAAATTGAAAAAAGATATTGAGATTGAAAATGCTGATTTTGTGAGGAGGTACAAAATTGAGTGGGCAGGTATTCGATCCTATTCTCCTAATGATGTGATGAGAAAAGAAAAACTCAAGGTATTCAATAGTGAATATGTTAAGAGAATTGCAGAATTGGAAAGGCAGCATGATATACGTCTAAAGGATCTTGAGGCCATGCAATTAGAAGCAAGGCAGAAGTTCCCAGAATCTTCAGTTCCTGATGATTTGTTAAATACAGCTGCTTCAAAGGAACTTGGGACTAGGCCTGAATCCTTGCAAACACATGATCAAGCCCAGAATCATAATGCTCCCAAAGCCATTGTGTCTGATCATGTTGCTGAAAGAAAGAGTTTTGATATAGTTGAAGTTGTGACAAGAGCTGGAACTGGGGTTGGATTATCTGAAGGTCCCAACACTAATTCCTGTGTAATTGTACCATGCAGTAGCCCAGTTGAACTGGAAAATCCTCTGGTCAAACATACTGGTGCTAGTGAGATGGACATAGTGGCCTCCAAAGATGGACCAGGATCTGAAAATAAGTGCAATCATGCTGCTGAAAATGAATATGACAGTCAAGGAAATGTCTCTAAGCCTGCCAACTCCAGAGAACAGTGTTCTGATGGAGCTATTAACATGGAAGACAAAAGTGAAGGGGGTGTAAATTTCAGTTGTCAATCTCGTGATGACTGTGGGCAGGATGCTACACCATCAGTTCCTCTTCCATCTAATGAAGAGACTCATGAGGGGAAAACATCAGGTGTTCTGAGTGGAGAGGTGGCTCTTGCAGTGTGTAAAACCAGCAGTTCAAATAATGATCATGTTGAAGTTCCTTCTTCTGGCCAAGGGACACTTAGTGGAACAATAGTGAGCAAGCCTGTTTGTGGTTTATCAATAGAAGTCAAGGCTAATGGTTCCTATGATGATGTGAAGAATATGACCCCCTTGAATTCTGAATCATCTGAAGAACATATCCCATGTATAAGTACAATGTGCATGTCAAATTGTGAGAATGCTGCACAAATCCATGAGGTTGATGGCAATAATGGTTCCAATAATGCTGGGACTCTGAACTCAACTTTGTCTGATGAAATAATTTCCTCCCAGAATCCAAAATCACCTCAAGACCATGCCCATAATGTAAATATCATGTGCTTGCCAAATTATGAGAATTCTGTACAGATCCATGATGATGATGATGACGGCAGGGGTTCAAATAATGTTATTCTGAATTCACCTTTGATTGATGAGAGAAATGCTCATGGGACCATAGTATTAAATAAAGATGTACAGGTGAAAATGTCCGAGACTGTCAATTTTACTCCATCCACTGAGCAAATATCTGGAGGTGCAGTAGATGTTCTAGTTTTAGATAACGTGTTGTCAAGACCATGTGGCGCTGGTAGTCCCAGCAACAGTTCTGATGTTAATGCTATTGTTCTTTTGAATCAACCACAGGAGAAACAAAATCCTGATGGAGTGTCATCAATTTTACCTGCTGGAGAAATCCCAAGTGAAGTGTCAGAAACTAGTCATAAAGTGGCCACTGAAAATGTATTAGATGGGGAGGAAACTGGGGGAATGCCCAGAACAGTGAATTGTGCTGATAATCTTGAGAATGTAGCTCCAAATTATTTATTGATGGATCAAATATCTGATGGTGGTTCAGTTTTAGATGTAGTTGTATCATCAGGGCCTTGTACTACTAGTCCAAACAGTGGTTGTGCATCTACAATTTCTCTTTCAAATCCACTTTCTTTACAGCAACAAACACACGATAGAGTCTTGTTGACTGGACCCGATGAACAAATTCCAGTCTTGGTGCCAGAAAATAGCCATGAAGAGGCTGAATATCAATTAACAGACAATGCAGCAGTGGATAAAAGTACCACATCAGACCAGCAGGGAGGAGTATGTAGAACCATGACTGAAAACAGTGTGTCCCAGCAGACTCCAGTATCTAGGTCAGTTGATTCCATGGAGCCTCTAGAACAATTGCAGCCATTATCATCTGTAGACTCCCCACCTGACCAAGATATTGGAAGAGAAGCACAGGACACTTTGGTATCTAGTCCTATTGATATTGTACCAACTAATCAATCCATTCACGTTTTACCAGTCATGGAGCCTCCAGAGCAGGAGGGCATATTACCTTCTGAAGGTTTCCTTTCTTCCAACCAGGCCCTATGTCCTTTGGTGACTGGAACTGAAGACCAGCCAACCAATGAAGATCTTCTCCCCAGCCACAATTCTGGGACATCAATTGAGATTCAAAATCAAGCTATTGTCCAACATGCGTCAAATTTGGAACTTGAGTCATGTTCTCGTCAAGTTGTGCATCCAGCCTTAAATTTGGACCTTGATTCACCTATGCTTTGTGGAGTCAGACCACAGTCTTCGGACATAAGAAATTTGCCAACTCAAGCAGAGATTAATAATCATCCTATACAAACTGCAACCCAATCAGCTTCCATGCTTGTTTTGTGCCAGGATCCGCTTAAAATTGAATTGGAAAGACTACGTAGAGTGACAGAGCAAAATATGAAAAACTATGAAAATATGGTTAGCTTTTGGTTTGATCTTTGCAATGATGATACTTATATTAGGTTTTATATCTTTTGTATTTTCTTTTTTGATAACTTCTATATTATTCTACTTGTTGGAGCAGAAATTGCAGTTGAAATGCGATTTTGAGAAGGAATTTGAGGAACTTCGAAGGAAATTTGAAAATAAGGGCAAGGAGATTGAGATTGAATTTCAGAAAACAAGGAAGAATCTGGATGCACATCTTAACATAGTTCTTGTTAATAAGATATTGGCTGAGGCTTTTAGGGCTAAATCCATGGATCTAAAAGAAGCTGGTGCATCAGGAATGGCACAAGGTATATTCTTCTAATTATGCTGACTGTAGTGACGTTAGAAATTTCTATGCCATTTGTTATTTTCTTTTTCACTGTTCAAGTTTCTACCAAATTATATTTACTGTTGCAAACATATCCAAATTGCTGATACCATTATTAAGACATTTGTGGAGACTTCTTAACATGGACAATGTTGTGCTTCTTCTGTTGTTATATGTAATTTTATATCTTATCCCTGAAGAAAAGGAGAAAATGAATCTTCACAGAAACAGATGTTAACGGATAGAGGGCTTTCCCTTTTGGTGGGCTGTGGAGGGCATTTGAAATCAAGCCTCAAGCAAACAATGCATCAGCAACTTATGAGCTGGCATGTTCTTTTGCATCCCCGCCCGCACACATGCAAATACAAATTTAGTCAAAAAAATACTGATTCACTTGCTATTGCAGTTGTTTCTAAGGTCTTTTGTTTGGATTTCGGTAAATGACGGGAGGGTTTTATGTAAAAATATACAATTTGCATGCGCGTCTCCTGGTCTCTGTGCACACGTATTCACCTCATCGTTTTCACATACTACTAATTCCATCTGCTCTGCCTTTTCTGTTTGTCTTTTCTAACCACGCCTTGTATTAATGCCAGATGCAAGTCTTGGGCAGCAATTATTTCAGTGGGCAAGTCAGCAAAATGCTACTCGGCCCTCTCTAGTTGCTGGTTCATCTTCCTGTGGCCCTCCTGCACCCATTTTGCAGGGTTCCTATGCAGCAACTAGTTCTCAGACGATAGCACCACCAGTACAGGCCACTTACAATACATCAGGAACTTTCTCAAGTGTTTCTGCAAGACTATCTCATATCAACTCCATGTCTTCCCCCTCGGGAAATCTTCAAGCTGTTGGGGAGATACGTTCTCCTGCACCGCATCTCCAGCATTTTAGACCATCAACCTCAACATCTGCCCCAGCCTCCAATCTCTGTACAGTTCTCCATGGGAGGCCAATGCAGCCTGCACCCAGTAACGTTCCTGTGACTTCTTCCTCATTTGCTCACAGGCCACCCCGGCCAACACCAGCAACTTTTCAGTCTGATCCTCATAGGGGGTATTGCCCTGTGAGTACAGGTGGGTTACCCATTCCTAATTTAACTACCATGAATTTACGTGCTGATGCTAACAGTCAACCTGGTACAAATCTGCCAAATGTTCTGCCACATATGCCAGATTTGGCTTCATTGAACCTATCCAAATTTGGCACAAGTACCAGCGTGCCGACTAACTCTGCCCCTCAAGCTACATCCCCTGATGTAGTCTGTTTATCAGATGATGACTGACCACAGGAAGCGTTTAACTATCTTCTTGCATATTGTCCTAACACTAGGCACTGATATAGCTGTTTCATTTCGCTAATTGAGGGGCTTCTAACATGAATTTAGGTGGCAGATATTATTGTGATGGCGATGCCATGCTCACCTGTTTTTATTGTGTTTTATTGTAATTATTATTTATCTTAAATGTATACCCAATTGTATGGTTCTCTGGATCACAATGGATGCGTGTCTGCTTTTCCTTCTGGGAGATGAATGAGTGTTAATTGAAATGAAGCATGTTGCTGTTCATATCATAGGTAGTGCTATTTTTTATCTGAAATTATGGTTTTATGTAAATAAATATCTAAATATGCTCCTCCCGGCCAAATAATTCGTTAATAAACAAATTAAGAGTACCTTTCTGCACTATGGAAAAATTCATAGTGCCCTTTAAAAGGTCAAGTGTCTTTTTACCCTAGATTTAGGTGTTTTCTTAAATACGAACATATTAATTACTACTTATGCTGAAGTTCATTCCATAAAATTCTTAAATGATAAAATTCCTAGATAAATTTTAATTAAATACAAAGTTATATTCAAATAAAAGATCTTAGACATCTGTAAAGTATTTTAATTATATATAGTATTCTAATCAAATATTAATTCTAAAAATTTGATAAAACATATAATTCTTAAATAACAATAATCTGCAGATCTACTTCTCAATGTTGCGTTATATATAAAAGAGGATTAGTTGACATCTGTAAAGTATTGGTAAATTTATACCTTATAAATGTTATATTTTATCAACTTAAACTATTAAATTATATGATAATACTAAATTAATGGTTAAATTGTCAAAATTTTATTATTTATAAAAAGTTATCAAGATTGTTAATTTACCGATACTTATACCTACCTAATGTCAATTGATGCTATCCTATTCCTATTCTATATAAATTTTCAGATGAACAATCATGAGTATGAAAAATCGAACTTTTGCACAATATATAAATGATCGTGAAAATGTAAACATGAGAATTTAGAAATTTAGCCTAGTTAAAAATGTTCTGGTTCAAGTTTAAGAATGGACTACTCTTGTAGTAACTTCAATATTCAAATACAAATTTCATCATTTTACTAAAAAAATAGTTACAAATTTCTTCACAATTACTACCTCCTTAAAAACAAATGCTGATTACGGTTGCATAAGCACGCCATATCACTGTCCGAGGAAAAACATCTTTAATCAATCAAATTAATAACCAAATAGTACTAACAGTAACGATATACATACAACAATTTTTTAGAAAAAGTTTCTAAAACAATTTTAAAAACCTGTGTTAATTGTTTTGTAAAAATATAATTACTCTTGTACAAATAAAGGTGCCAAGGTGGTCAGTGTATCATGGGCTCCCACATGTAAGAAGAGGAGAGGAGCACCGTCCCAATCCTCAAGGCATTCAGTGGGTCTATCATCTTTCCTTGACTAATTGCATTGAAAAATTAATCAAAATCTTTTCCTGGGGGCTTAATTTTCTGTTCAGTTTGAAATTCACTTCTTAATTTTGTTAGGACTAGTTGAACTTCCTTTCTCGAAGCCATTCCATGTAGACTCAACTTCTTTGGGCAACATGCCTTTAGTACTTCTTCAAAGGAACCAATCTTCAGGAAGATGGAACTATCTATACTTTCCAAATCATCATGACTCAGCAATCCCTGGTCCACTAACACACCCCTTAGTTTTTTTGCATCAGTGGGTATCTAGCATTTAACGGGTCATCAAAAAAGCCAAAAACATACAAACGATCAACAACAACTTTGACAATTCTTTCTCACAATATCTAGAGTGATGAATTTCCCCATCAGTGCTCACAGTTACGACCTTTTTAGCCACTCGATTCACTGTTGTTTTCAAATTCTCCTCTAAATGCCTCCTCAGATCTATAGCTTGGAAAAGAGCAATGAGGTAGGTTAATATTTCTACTGCTTCAGCTGTCCTGAGTTCACATCTTGGTTGTGTTGTTCTGCACTTTGTACATGATTAGTAACTGGGTTCGCTTGATACTGAAGCTCAGAACAGTATGCAACCATTCTATCTCTCCATCCTTCAATCCATAATCCCCTTGAGATATTTGAAGGCAACCCATTATTGTAGAAATCATTTCCCAGCTCAGACATCTAAGCAAAATGGAGTTTTCCATTGAAAATTGCTACCATGCAATGCTTTGTTCCTTGATAAGGAACATGTCCCTGCTGATTCCCTTAAATAAGTATATATCAAGCATTGGTCATGAGCTTCCAAATAGGATTTATTCAAGCTAAGTTCGATATGTATATCATCATATATTTAGCTCAAGAGACAATATTCTTGAAAATTTCGATACTTTACCCGTAAATATGTAGGCAATGGTATTTTTCTTTTACAAGCTATTACTCATTCTTTAGGATTACTTTCTTAGGGGAGTGGTGTTTTTAAGGGGGGGAGGGGGGGGTCAACATAGGAGTGTAGTTTGCCATAAAATAGATCAATCCATTCTTAAATCCTTCTCTCTCAAATGGGCCATAATAAATACTTAAACAGCAAAGCATGGGGCGTAGTGGCTTTTTGGTGAATCCATTTTGCAATAATAGCTAGACCTGAAATATTACGCATTTTTCTTGAAGAATACTTGGTGCATTCTGTTCTTTTTTTTTAATCTATAATTATGTGTAGATAAAGATTTCTTATAACATGCATAATATAGGACAGATAATATTATAAACTAAAAATTACTAGAGCCATTCCCTAAGTGTCGAAGATAGACAGTGTATAATATAAACTTAAAAACAAAAATAAAGTCTAAAATATATATAAGATTTATTCAAGCTGACCTAGATATAGATATCTAAATACAAAATATAAGACGTGAATTCAAACATGTCCGGCCTTATTATTTTTATTTATCTTCTCCCCTTGTTTTAGGGATTAAATTATAGTCAAAGTAAGCATAAAGAATCAGATATACTTTTTGCATGTTATGTCGAATTGAAATCTCAAAGTTGATTATCAATAAACAAATATGCATTCAAAGCTTCTAAAAATAGAATAAAATAAACTTTGAAGGTGACATAAGCAACATGTTTAAATTCAAACTATACTAATTATATAATATGTACTGTGTAAACAATACCTTTATATTTCCTTAAGTTTCAATGAGAATGACATATTTTTGACTGAATCCAAAAATAAATTAATGAAGATATACAGAGGTTATAAATGAAACACTACTTTAACATAAGGGCAATAAAACTTTCAGACCAAAATATTTCAATACGTTATGCAACTGTCTTGGTCTCTGAACGCGATTGAAATAAATACACACACAAATATTAAGCTATTATTATAAAATAAAAAATATATATGATATGTATGAACAGTTTTAAAAATTACATATTTCGAACATTTTAAGTCCTTCGAACTTTAAAAGATATATAATTATTTTTATTATTAATTTGAAAATTTTATTTCATGTCAAAAATATTTTTAATATCCAAATTGATATAAAATAAAACTTTCAAATGCTAAATTAAATTTTTATATTTTAAAAGTAATTCATAATAATTTATTTATCAAAATATAATTTAAAATGAGAATTTAATTTAATTGCTCTATTTTTTTCACATTATCATCTAATCACGAATTGATACACTAGTGGAAATTATTAACTTTTATAATAATTAATTTAAAAATCATATTTATCATATATTTTAATTGATTAATATTGTAAAAACTTTCACCCTCACCATCAAAGTTCAACTCTTAAGATAAATCAGAAATTATTTAATATTAAAATTTGATTAAAATACGTTAATAGTATAAAGCTATTTTGATTAAAAGGTTAAAACAATCAAAATATAAGTATGAAAATATACGAATCATTCCGTACAATATAAATAAACGAATTAAAAACTTATAAAATAAAGTATCCAAGGTCATTTAAGAAGAAGAGGGAATATATTTTAGAGTATTATTCTAAAAAATATATATTAATAAATTTTCTACTTAATTATATTTTAAATATTTATATTTTAACTTTTATTTTATTTTACTTTTTAGTTTTAATCACTTACATTTATCTTTTTATATTTTTTATTTTTCAAATTAAATTATTTTATCTTTAAATCTCATTCAATAATAAACAAAAATATAATGAAAATGTGATATATTATTAATTTATATAGACTAATAAAAAATATATAAAACATGTAATTAAAAATAATAAATAAATATGTGTAAAATATAATAAAATATTTTTACTGGATTATTTTATATACTTTTTCTTTGCAAATTTACATTATTTGTTTGTTTAGAGAAGAAAAAAAAATTATACAAACTAAAAAAATATTAATTTTGTTAAAATTAATTGCTAAATTTACTTATTTACTCTTTGTTAATGTTTTTTTATTACATACAGTAGAAACTCTTTAAATTAATAATGTCAAAACCGGAGAAATTTATTAATTTAGAGAGTTATTAATTTATCGATAAATTAATAATTATTAATTTAAAGAATTTTTAAGTAATTATACTGTACATATCAAACAAAAAGGAAAATTAATCTATGCCTCTTAGAATTACGTTGCAGCGAACCTTGGGATTCAACGTACAGTAAATTAGTAATTACACTACATATGCATTGGAAATCAATAATGACTTTTGAAGTACAGTAAATGTAAACAAGAGGAATAAATGTATTCAATGTATTCTTAAGCAAGTTTGGCATATATAAATTACATGAATGTGTTAGAGTATTCAAACCATATCTCACTAGATGGCTTCTCATCTAAAAGGTGTTGTAAAATCAACTATGTCAGATCAAATATGTAAGGAGTTGTGTGAGTATAAAAGAGATAATCTTGCAAGCACACAAAAAGACTTGCAGAGATAGCTTGAGAGAAAATTTCAGTTGAAAGTTAGTCAAGGAATAATATCAAACACACTTAAGCGGTCAAATGACTATCTCTCTAGGGATGACAATGGGTAAAGTACCCGATGGACACCCACAAAATTTACCCACAATGGGTAGGGAATTTACCCGCTATACGGGTACGAGTATAGGTGTGGGTAAAAATCCGCAAATTTTAATGGGGATGGGTGCAGGTATGGGTATCTAAGTACCCATCCTGCCCCATACCCGCATATATATATATGCTTGAACTTTATTCTACAATTATGCATTAAATTTTTATATTATTATATTACTTATGTGAAGTTATATAAGATTAATATAAAAATATATTTAATAATAAAGTAAACCAAAAAATTTATTTTGGTTTATATTTTTAATAGAAAAATTTATTTACTATTTTATATCATTTAATTAGGCTAACACAATTTAATTATTATATAGTTAATATAAGATTGACTTTTTTTAAAATATTATTTATATATGACACACATAAAATAT